ACTCCCAGAACATGAGTCTCGTTTCTTAACAACCATATCCTACTATTTCTTCAAAGATTTCAAAACTTTAAGAATATAAGAGGAGGGCACTACTGAGCAGGAAGGTAAATTTGCCTAGCATCACACAGGCCATGTGACAAAAAGGCAGTTCAACAAAGTTTCCTAACCTTCTTTTGCTGCTGGGAGTCATGCATACCTGTGACTTGTGAAGAGAAGGATAAATCAAACAGCAAAGTAAGAAGACTCTTTTCAAGTCGTTAAGAAATTCTCTGGAAGTCAATGCAAAGGAGAATAAGTACTTCTATGAATGAAGAGTTTTTTATTTAGAGTCTGAGCTAATAATCCTGAGGGTTATGATTGTTGTTAAATTATTATCTACATTTGGGGAGGACCATTTGCATGGGCAAATCCCCAATGAGTCATAATCCATACACGAAATAAAAATTAACTCTGTTCTTTCCATATTATAAAAGAGCAAAATCAAGGTTAGAAATCAAATGTAATACCTGCCTCTGGAAGATCCATTGGTGGATTCAGCGTGTGTCTTTGGGGTAGGTCAAAGACCACTGTTGGTGGTTGGGCCTGAGGGAGGGGCTGGTAGCCTCCTTCTGCAGTCCTCTGTGATTCTGCCTCTGTGTTTCACATCCAGACCCAGCATGGCTCCAAGGTTTGGGGGAAACTGACAACTTGGACAGGGTAGTGGCAGCCTTCATGACAAAGAGAACTTAGTCCAGCAAGTAAAAAGCTTTTGGACAAAAATCAGCTGAACATTTTTTAAATGGATAATTTTTTTAAAAATTACAGGATATTTTCAGTCCTGTCATATTTCTGAATTTTATGATTTTATTTTCCCTTTGGAAAGTTCCTGAGGTCACCTCTCTAGTCCCACAAAAGAGTGAGTTCCCCAACAGGTAAATTAATTCTTACATTTCTTTAGCAATTTTTTCCTTACAAAGAGGTTTTTTTTATCTACTATATAATTTGAATTTTGTGCTATTTGATTTGTAGGGGCCAGATGTGATGTCTCATGCCTGTAATCCCAGCACTTTGGGAGGAAGCAGGTGGATGGCTTGAGCCCAGGAGTTCAAGACCAGCCTCTGCAGCATGGCGAAACCCTGTCTCTACCAAAAATACAAAAATTATCTGGATGTGGCGGGGCCTGTCTATGTAGTCCCAGTTACTCGAGAGCCTGAGATGGGAGGATCGCTGGAGCCAGGGAGATCGAGGTTGCAGTGAGCCAAGATCGCACCACTGCACTCGGCCTGGGCCACAGAGCGAGACTTGGTCTCAAAAATAGTAAATAAAATACCAGCCTGGCCAACATGGTGACCTTGTCTCTACCAAAGATCCAAAAGGTAACCAGGTGTGGTGGTGCCCGCCACCATGCTCGGCTAATTTTTGTATTTTTGGTAGAGATGATTTTCACCACGTTGGCCAGGCTGGTCTCGAACTCCTGACCTCAGGTGATCCTCTGGCCTCCGCCTCCCAAAGTCCTGGGATGACAGGTGTGAGACACTGAGCCCAGTCCCCTCCATTTTTTTTTTTTTTTTAAGATGGAGTTTTACTCTTCTTGCCCAGGCTGGAGTGCAATGGCACAATCTTGGCTCACCACAATCTCCGCTTCAGCCTCCAGGTTCAAGCCATTCTCTTGCCTCAGCCTCCCAAGTAGCTGAGGTTACAGGCATGTGCTACCACACCCAGCTAATTTTTTGTATTTTTAGTAGAGACAGGGTTTCTGCATGCTGATCAGGCTGGTCTTGAACTCCCAACCTCAGGTGATCCACCTGCCTCAGACTCCCAAAGTGCTGGGATTACAGGCGTGAGCCACCGCACCCAGCCAAAAATTTTTAAATGATCTATAGGAAATAGGAATAATTACAACAATGATATCTAGTGCATGATGTTAATGGAAGATGCCCATCACAAAAGGCCACATGTTGTAGATTCCATTTATATGAAATGTACAGAATAGAGAAATCCATGAAGACAGAAAGTCGATTAGTGGTTGCCAGGGGCTGGGGGAAACAAAGGTAATGAAGAATGACTGTTAATGGGCACAGGGTCTCTTTTTGAGGTGATGGAAATTAGGTAGCTCTGGAATTAGTGGTGATGGTTACACAGTCTTGTGAATATATGAAAAATTGCTAAGTTGTACAGTTTTAAAGGATGAATTTTATAGAGTATCTCAATTTGTTTTCATTTTAAAATTATTTTTATTTATTTATTTTTTCTTAGAGATGGGGTTGCTCTATGTTGCCCAGGCTGGTCTTGAACTCCTGGGCTCAAGCAATTCTCCCACCTTGACATCACAAAATGTTGGGATTACAGGTGTGAGCCACCGTACCTGGCCTCAATATTTTTAACTGCAAAAGGAAAAAATCCTGAGCCCTTACCATATGCTAGGATTGGTTAAGAACTTTACTTGCCTCAAGCCACTTATCTCCATGATTATCTCAACAAGCTTATGTGATACTATCATTTCTTCATTTTACAGATGGTACAGATGGAGACACAGACTCAGAGAGGTGATTGGTCAACAGTGATGTGGTAAGCAAATAAACACCAACCAAAATTCAGATTTCTGACCCTCACTTTCCAAATCAGGCCCTTGACTATAATCCTGGTAATTCAAGGGGATATTTCTGAGTGGACTTCTCCTGGTATTTACTCTGCTCAACTTCTATTTTTTATTTTTATTTTTTTTTTTGAGATGGAGTCTCACTCTGCCATCCAGCTTAGAGTGCCGTGGCGCGATCACAGCTCACTGTGGGCTGAAACTCAAGCCATCTGCCTCCTAAAGTGGAATTACAGGAATGAGCCATTATGCCTGGCCCTCAACCCTTTAATAATAGATCTTTGCAGTGCCTTATCCTTTTACAATACCTTTTTTTTTCATTTGGGATTCTTTCCCCTTTTTTTTGAGATGAAGTCTCGCTCTGTTGCCCAGGAGTGCGATGGTGCCATCTTGGCTCACTGCAATCTCCACCTCCCCAGTTCAAGTGATTCTCCTGCTTCAGCTTCCCAAGTAGCTGGGACCACAGGCACCTGCCATTACGCCTGGCTAATTTTTATATTTTTAGTAGAGACAGGGTTTCACCAAATTAGCCAGGCTGGTCTTGAACTTGAACTTGAACTTGTGATCCACCTGCCTCGACCCCCCCAAAGTGTTGGGATTACAGACATAAGCCACCACACCGGCCTTTTTTTTTTTTTTTTTTTTTTTTTAAATAGAGACAAGGTCTCACTATGTATCCCAGGCTGGTCTTGAACTTGAACTCCTGGCTTCAAGCGATCCTCTCACCTTGGCATCCCAAATCGTTAGCATCACGGGCATGAGCCACCATGAGCCTCCTTAACTTTTGAGAGTTAAACATAGCAGTGATTTTCCCTCCTCAAAGTCCTTAATTCTTCAAATCCCTTTTCTTCTGACGAAAGGCAAAGTTCCACTTCTTAGCTCCTCTCTAGGGAAGCCCCTTCAGGTCACACAAGGGCAGCTGGTTTTAAGCAAAGCTGTGCTGCTTATCCCCTGCACTTATTCTGCTCCAAGGACATGATTACCTTGCCACCGAGTTCCCCAAGGGTTTTCTTATGTATACATGTTTCCTCTGACCTAATGGAGCATTTGGGTCACAAGTGAGTCAGCAAAAACACTACAGAAGGAAAAGACACATCGCAAGAGCCTCAGTTATGGGTGAATCCTCAGACATTCAGAGTTGGAGCAAACCTCAGTGATTCTTTGCTCTGAGACCTCCTCTCTAACATGGAGAATTCCAGGGTAGAGCAACATTAGGTGACTTTCCCATGGTCATGGAGTCAGAAGTATACCTCGCCCTAAAATTCTGACACTCTCTACAGCTGGCTTGGTTTCTCAAATGATTCTCAATCAAAGGAAACTCCTAAGGAGTTCCATTTACTGTTACTGATGTTGCTTGTTTACATTTTACTATGTAAAATCTACTAGTTAAAAAAGACACTTCTGGGTTTGTTGGTTTGTTTTTTTGTTTTGGGACAGTCTCTCCCTGTTGCCCAGGCTGGAGTGCAATGGCTCAATCTCGGCTCTGTGCAACCTCCACCTCTTGCGTTCAAGTGATTCTTGTGCCTTACCGTCCCAAGTAGATGGGATTACAGGCGCCCACCACCTACACCTAGCTAATTTTTTGTGTTTTTTTTTTAGTAGAGATGGGATTTCACCATGTTGGCCAGGCTAGTCTGGAACTACTGACCTCAGGTGATCCACCCACCTTGGGCTCCCAAAGTGCTGGGATTACAGGCGTGAGCCACAGCACCTGATCTGACACTTCTGGTACATCCCCATAATGGAATATTATACAACCATTAACATTTACAAAGATAAGTATTTTTAGATAAAATATTAAGTTCTAAACAATTAACTAGGCCAGGTACAGTGGCTCATGTTTGTAATCCCAACACTTTGGAAGGCTGAGGTGGGAGGATCACTTGAGTCTAGGAGTTCGAGACCAGTCTGGGCAACATAGTGAGACTCTGTGTCTATTATTTAAAAAAAAAAAAAATGGCCAGCTTTATGGACCATTAAAGTGTTATCTGGACACATGCACACGAATGTTCATTGCAGCATTGTTTACAATAGCAAAGACCTGGAACCAACCCAAATGCTCATCGATGATAGACTGGACAGGGAAAATGTGGCACGTATACACCATGGAATACTATGCAGTCATCAAAAACGATGAGTTTGTGTACTTTGCAGGAACATGGATGAGCCTGGAAACCATCATTCTCAGCAAACTGACACAAAAACAGAAAATCAAACACCGCATGTTCTCACTCATAGGTGGGTGTTGAACAATGAGAACACATGGACACAGGGAGGGGAGCATCACACACTGGGGTCTGTTGGGGGGAAATAGGGGAGGGACAGCTGGTGTTAGGGAGTTGGGGAGAGAGAACATGGGGAGAAATGCCAGATATAGGTGATGGGGAGGAAGGCAGCAAATCACACTGCCATGTGTGTACCTATGCAACAATCTTGCATGTTCTTCACATGTACCCCAAAACCTAAAATGCAATTAAAAAAAAAAAGATGGCCGGGCGCGGTGGCTCAAGCCTGTAATCCCAGCACTTTGGGAGGCCGAGGCGGGTGGATCACGAGGTCAAGAGATCGAGACCATCCTGGTCAACATGGTGAAACCCCATCTCTACTAAAAATATAAAAAATCAGCTGGGCATGGTGGCGCGTGCCTGTAATCCCAGCTACTCAGGAGGCTGAGGCAGGAGAATTGCCTGAACCCAGGAGGCGGAGGTTGCGGTGAGCCGAGATCGCGCCATTGCACTCCAGCCTGGGTAACAAGAGTGAAACTCCGTCTCAAAAAAAAAAAAAAAAAAAAAAAAGATGTTATCTGGAAACAAGTCAGCTCTTGTCTTTTCCCCAGAGGTGTTTGTGTTATAAGAAGGGACTTAGAGGGACTTTCTAGACAGGGATATATGTTGGGAAGAAGAAGGGGAGATTAGAAAGGAATAAGTTGGATTTGAAATGATTGTCAAGTTCCCCAAACTTTTTATCGAAATTCCAAGAAGCTCAGAAGTGTTTAGGTAAACTGGAATTTAAATACCAAAGTAAACCAAAGCACCTATTATACTTTCACATCCTTATCTCTGTTGAGCCTCACAACAACTCTGTGAAGTAGTCTGGGTCACTGGCCCTAATGGATAGATCAGGAGAGTCACTATTAAGAAATGTTCATAGGGTTACATAAACGGAACTTGAAGGTCTTAGAATGTGAAGTTGGGTCATCTGATTCATGGCCGCATGCTACACTCTTCTCCCAGAAAAGCCTTTTAAAATCAGGGTTTCTTTTAGCCAATCTCCCCAGAATCAGTGGAGAGGGATTCAGGGCCCTTCAATATAGCTTTGCTTCTGGCAAATTCGTCTCTTTCTTCTTAACTTTTTTAGTGTTCCTTGTAGTCTCAACTTCTGCTATATTGCTTCTTGACTCTTCAGAAAATGTTGCTAGTAACTGCAGTCGACCACACCTTTGATTTAATTTTTAAATTTTTTAAATTTTAAATTTTTTTTTTTTTTTTTTTTTTTAGCAGAGTCTCTCTCTCTCACCCAGACACTGGAGTGCAGTGGCACAATCTCGGCTCACTGCAACCTCCACCTCCCAGACTCAAGCGATTTTCCTGCCTCAGCTGGGATTGCAGGCATGTGCCACCATGCCCAGCTAATTTTTGTATTTTTAGTAGAGATGGGGTTTCACCATGTTGCCCAGGTGGGTCTCTAGTGATCCATCCACCTCAGCCTCCCAAAGTGCTGGGATTGCAGGCATGAGCCAGCATGCCCAGCACAACCTTTGATTTCAAGTGCTCTCCACACATTTATTTTCATGCTTGGTTATGGTGGGTAGCAGTGGCATCATGGGGTGACTTGGAGACAACTTTAGTCTACCTATGCAGCAAGCCATTTCAAACAAATACACTATTTATATAAAAACAGTGCTATTTATATAAAAACAGCAGGCTGGGCACAGTGGCTCATGCCTGTAATCCCAGCATTTTGGGAGGCAGAGTCAGGTGGGTCGCTCGAGCCCGGGAGTTTGAGACCAGCCTGGGCGACACAGCAAGACACTGTCTCTATGAAAAAAAATTATTTAGATATAAAAATTAAGGCTGGGCACAGTGACTCACGCCTGTACTCTAATCCCAGCACTTTGGGAGGCCAAGGCAGGCAGATCACTTGAGGTCAGGAGTTCGAGACCAGCCTGGCCAACATGGTGAAAACCCTATCTCTACCAAAAATACAAAAATGGGCTGGGCATGGTGGCAGGCACCTGTAATCTTAGCTACTTGGGAAGCTGAGATGGGAGAACTGCTTGAACCCTGGGTAGCGGGGGCAGAGGTTGCAGTGAGCCAAGATCGTGCCACTGCACTCCAGTCTGGGCAACAAGTGAGACCCCCTGTCAAAAAAAAAAATTAGCCGGGTATGGTGGCAGGTGCCTATAATCCCAGCTACTAGGAAGGCTGAGGTGGGAGAATCGCTTGAACCTGGGGAGGCGGGGGAGAAGGTTGCAGTGAGCTGATATGGTGCCACTGTACTCCAGCCTGGGTGACAAGAGCAAGATTCTGTCTCAAAAATAAATAATTAGTTAATTAATTTTTAAAAATGGATCTAGAGTCTTGAGTTTTTACTTTACTGTGTTCTCAAATCTGATAGTTTATAAAACAAAGAAAAACTGGACAGCTACTAATCTAAAAGAGGATAATTTGGCTACACCATCATGAATTACATTGTTTGCCAAATGTGCTGAACTTCAACTCTGGTCACGAACTAGACAGTTAAGCAGCCTCCATGTTGGTGGGCCAAATCATAGTTTGGCTGTGTGTCAGAAATGGAGTAAGGTCTATGGGGGCTGTAGGTCCCAAATTCTGGCTCTCAGTCCCCATTTCCAAACTGAAAGGGACATTTCTACCTAGCAGAAAATAAAGGCTGGGTGTGGTAGCTCACGCCTGTAATCCCAACACTTAGGGAGTCCAAGGAGGGCGGATCACAAGATCAGAAGATTGAGATCATCCTGGCTAACACAGTGAAATCTTGTCTCTACTAAAAATACAAAACATTACCCGGACCGTGCCTATAGTCCCAGCTATTTGGGAGGCTGAGGCAGGACAACTGCTTGAATTTGGAAGGCAGAGGTTGCAGTGAGCTGAGATTGTACCACTGCACTCCAGTCTGGGCAACAGAGCAAGACTTCGTCTCAAAAATAAAATAAAATAAAAAATAAATAGTCATAGGCCGGGCGCGGTGGCTCAAGCCTGTAATCCCAGCACTTTGGGAGGCCAAGGCGGGTGGATCACGAGGTCAAGAGATCGAGACCATCCTGGTCAACATGGCGAAACCCCGTCTCTACTAAAAATACAAAAAATTAGCTGGGCATGGTGGTGCGTGCCTGTAATCCCAGCTACTCAGGAGGCTGAGGCAGGAGAATTGCCTGAACCCAGGAGGCGGAGGTTGCGGTGAGCCGAGATCGTGCCATTGCACTCCAGCCTGGGTAACATGAGTGAAACTCCGTCTCAAAAAAAAAAAAAAAAAAATAGTCATGCATGACTCTTTGGAGTCCACTCTACATCCTGCTCATGAATTCCCGAATCCTCATGTTCTGTTTTTTGGGAGGTGCAGGGCATTCCTACGTGAGCCTTTTTGGACAGGCTTAGTTGAGCCACTTAAGCTACAGTGGCGTTGAGTATGGAGAAAGCTGTAAGCTCTGGACAGCTGCTGCCCCTCACCTCCTGTGGACACCATCCTATCCTCTCCTTTTAAATTCCAGAGAGAATAGACTCCTTGGTAGCTTTGTTGGAAGTCTGCCAACACCTGTTGTTAAGAACAACAAGAGGGGCCATCTCAGCCACCCCTGGGGTGGGGGTGGGGGTTTATGGGTGCCTCCACTGTTGCCAAGCCCCTGCATTAGTGTATATCTTGCAAAACTACACTTGTAACCCACTGCTCTTCACATTCCCTCCTGCCATGTGGGCCCTCCTCCTAGGCCTTGATCTTTCCTTTTGATGAAACCAACCTACATAACACTGTGGGCAGAGAGCAAGAAACAAGTGGATTCCACATGGAAAGGTTTGGCATGAATAATCAGTACTGGACAGGGAATTGATATAACCAGGACTGTAAGTGACATATAAATTCTGTAATACTAATAACTGGCTGGGCATGGTGGCTCACGTCTGAATTCCCCCACTTTGGAAGGTTGAGGCAGGAGGATGGCTTAAACCCAGGAGTTCAAGACCAGCCTGGGCAACATAGTGAACCCCTGTCACTACAAAAATAAATAAATACCTAAATAAATAAAATTAGCTGGGCACTGTGGAGTGTGCCTGCAGTCCCAGCTACTCAGGAGGCTGAAGTAGGAGGATTACTTGAGCCAGAGAGGTCAAGGCTGCAGTGAGCTGTGATCGTGCCACTGCACTCCAACCTGTGTGGCAGAGGGAGAACCTGTCCTAACAACAACTTCCTTTTATGATTTACAGTGCCAGGCACTGTGCTATACATGCCATGAACATTTTGTGCTTCATTTAATACAACTACTCTTTATGGTATTATTGTCTGCATTTGATGAATAAGAATATTTAGAAGAAGATTAAATAAATTACTGAAGTTTGCAATAGCTAGTATGACAAAGTCAAACTTAGCTATGCACTAAACTGTTTCATTTTCCCCCAAATGCACAGAAAGACAACAATTCCCAGAACTCCATGCTTGGAGGTAGACCCGAATTCTGGTCCATGGATTGTAGATGTGCTATGCCCCATTTCCAGGTTTATTTATTTATTTATTTATTTTTTAAGATAGGGTTTCACCATGTTGGTCAGGCTGGTCTTGAACTCCTGACCTCAGGTGATCCACCCACCTTGGCCTCCAAAGTGCTTGGATTACAGGTGTGAGCCACCGCACCCGGCCCATTTCCAGGTTTAAAACATTCCACACAAAGTTCCACTTTCTCTTCCTTATCTGTACAGCTGGAAACAAAGGATCCACCCCACTCATTCCTCCTAAGGACAGAGCCTAGATCCCTGAGTAACTGCGTGGAGGAGAGCTACTCAAGAGAACTGACTGTCCAGCCTGGTCAACATAGGGAGATCCCATCTCCACAAAAAATACAAAAATTAACCAGGCGATCTGTGGTACCAGCTACTTGGGAGGCTGAGGTGGGAGGATTGCTTGAGCCATTGAGGTTGAGGTTACAGTAAGCAGTGATGGTGACACTGCATTCCAACCTGGGCTACAGAGTAAGACCCTGTCTTAAAAAAAAAAAAAAAAGCTGACTGGCCCACATTACACTGTAAATGGGAACAACAAATAAATCTTTGTTCTGTTCAGCTGTCGATATTTCAGGGTTTATTTGTCACTGCTGCATAACCTTGCCTACCCTGAGTAATACAGCTAGACAAGTTGTAGCCAGGACTCAAGTGGATTTCAGTACAGGTCTGACTTAACCTGCACCTGTAACCACTCTTGACGACTCTTTTATACCTAGCATAGGAGAATCAGAAGAGAGTTTCTAATCTGGAACTCTGCCACTTACGTGTGTGATTTCTTAGGTAATTCAATTAACTTTTCCATGCTTCAGTGTTTTCATTTGTCCAATGGGAATGAAAATATCTATTCTTCTTCTTTCCTGTGGTTATTGCAAGAAGCAAATAAGGCAATAGCTGTGAAATGATTTGGAAAATAAGCATCCTCCAAATGCAAAGAAGCGTTATTATTTAACAGAATTTCCTGACTGTAGTTAGGAAGTCATACCACTGATGTTAGAACTGGCATGAAAATTTATGCTTACATATCTGCCTGTATTATTGGCAGTACTTATTCTTTTCATCCATTAAATTTTAACATAATCTCGAACTTACAGATGAGTCACAAAAATGGTATCTTTACCCAGATTTCCCACATGTTTATATTTTGCCCCATTTTGATCATATTTCTGAATTATTCAAGAGTAAACTGATGGCTGGGCATGGTGGCTCACGCCTGTAATCCCAGCACTTTGGGAGGCCGAGGCAAGTGGATCATCTGAGGTCTGGAGTTAGAGACCAGCATGACCAACATGGTAAAACCCTGCCTCTACTAACAATACAAAATTAGCCTGGTGTGGTGGCACATGTCTGTAATCCCAGCTACTTGGGAGGTTAAGGCAGGAGAATTACTTGAACCCAGGAGGCGGAGGTGACAGTGAGCCAAGATCGTGCCATTGCACTCCAGCCTGGGTGACAAGAGCTAAATTCCGTCTCAAAAAAAAAAAAAAAGTAAACTGGAGACAATGTGTACTTTACCAGTTCAGAGGGAGTTCAACCCTGTTAACATCTTGTTTTCAGCCAGTGAAACTGGCTTCATTCTTCTGACCTCCAGAGCTATAAGAAAATATATGTGAGTTGGCCAGGCACGGTGGCTCACGCCTGTAATCCCAGCACTTTGGGAGGCTAAGACAGGTGGATAACCTGAGGTCAGGAGTTCAAGACCAACCTGACCAACATAGAGAAACCCCATCTCTACTAAAAATACAAAATTAGCAGAGTGTGGTAGCACATACCTGTAACCCCAGCTGCTCGGGAGGCTGAGGCAGGAGAATCGCTCGGAACCTGGGAGGGAAAGTTGCAGTGAGCAGAGATCATGCCATTGCACTCCAGCTTGGGCAACAAGAGGAAAACTCTGTAAAAAAAAAAAAAAAGAAAGAAAAGAAAAGAAATGTGTGTTATTTTAAGCCACCAAATCATGTGGTAATTTACCATAGCAGCCACAGGAAACGCATATAATCCATAATCAAATTTTGACAATTGTCTAAATAGTATTCATTTAACGTATTTCTGTTATCGAGATAATCTTCAGTTCAGGATCATATTTTTCAATTCAGGATCATGTGTTTTTAGTCTAATCTAGAGCAGTTCTCTAGCCTCACTTTGTCTTTCTTGACTTGGACATTTTTGGAAAGTACAGCTACTGGCCAGGCATGGTGGCTCATGCCTATAATCCCAACACTTTGGGAGGCTGAGGAGGGAGGATCGCTTGGGCCCAGGAGTTCAAGACCCACCTGGACAACAAAGTGAGTGCATTCCTAAAAAAACATGTTGGGCATGATGGTGAGCACCTGTAGACCCAGCTACTCAGGAGGCTGAGGTGGGAGAACTGCTTGAGCCAAGGAGGTAAAGTCTACAGTGAGCCATGATCATACCACTGTACTCCAGCATGGGCAACAGAGCGAGACCCTGCCTCAAAAAAGTACAGCTATTTATTTTGCAGAATGTCGCTTGATTTTTGTTTGGCTAATGTTTCCTCATCCTTAGGTTCAAATTACGCAGTTATACAGGGCTATAATATCATTTCAGGAGTTACATAATGTTGGTTTGTCCTAAAATTGATAGTTGATTTTGATCACTTGATGAAGGTTGGGGCTACCAGATTGCTCTCTGTAAAGTTATTAATTTCCTCTATATAAATAAAAGGTAATTTGTGGGGATATTCCTTGAGGCTCTTCCTCATTATGATTTAACCTTCAAGTTTTAGCATCCCTGATGATCTTTTCTTTTTTTTGGGGGGGGGGTCAGGCTGACTCTGTCACCCAGATTGGTGTGCAGTGGAGCAATCTCAGCTCACTGCAACCTTTGTCTCCCTGGTTTAAGCAATTCTCAAGCCTCAGCCTCCAAAGTAGCTGGGACTGTACATGAGCGCCACCAGGCCTGGCTAAGTTTTGTATTTTTAGTAGAGACAGGGATTTTACCATGTTGGCCAGGCTGGTCATGAACTCCTGACCTCAGGTGATTTGCCTGCCTCAGTTTCCCAAAGTGCTGAGATTACAGGCATGAGCTGCTGCGCCAGGCCTTGACTTGTCTTTTTTTTTTTTTTTTTGAGACGGAGTTTCGCTCTTGTTACCCAGGCTGGAGTGCAATGGCGCGATCTCGGCTTTCCACAACCTCCGCCTCCTGGGTTCAGGCAATTCTCCTGCCTCAGCCTCCTGAGTAGCTGGGATTACAGGCACGCGCCACCATGCCCAGCTAATTTTTTGTAGTTTTAGTAGAGACAGGGTTTCACCGTGTTGACCACGATGGGCTGGATCTCTTGACCTCGTGATCCACCCCTCTTGGCCTCCCAAAGTGCTGGGATTACAGGCTTGAACCACCACACCCGATCAACTTGTCTTTTATTTTTGATGTCCAGATTGTCCCAGATTTGGCTAGCAGGAGCCCCTCAAACTGGCTTCTTTGTTCTTTCGATATATCCCCTACATTCTTTGAGCATTTTCTTGCTTTGTAGCTTAAGAAGATATTTCAGGGGCCGGGCGCGGTGGCTCAAGCCTGTAATCCCAGCACTTTGGGAGGCCGAGGCGGGTGGATCACGAGGTCAAGAGATCGAGACCATCCTGGTCAACATGGTGAAACCCTGTCTCTACTAAAAATACAAAAAAAAATTAGCTGGGCATGGTGGTGCGTGCCTGTAATCCCAGCTACTCAGGAGGCTGAGGCAGGAGAATTGCCTGAACCCAGGAGGCGGAGGTTGCGGTGAGCCGAGATCACGCCATTGCACTCCAGCCTGGGTAACATGAGTGAAACTCCGTCTCAAAAAAAAAAAAAAAAAAAAAAGAAGATATTTCAGGTTCATCTTACACTTTCTCTGCAGCAGTCTGTTCTCCCAGAAACCCTGGTTCCTTTTGTAGGAGAATGGAATTCAGAAACCAAGATCTGAGCGCTAGGTATGCTCTGTGGCTGCTTCTGTGGGCTCTGTCAGTGGACAGAGCCAGGAAATTTGTATAAAGCCAAGAGTGCATATTGATACCTCCAAGTCTAATTCAACATCACATAGTACTTTCCTCCTCCCCATTTTTGTAACTTCCAGTAGTGGGAACACTGGTTCCCTTTACCTTCAGTATGTCTTCTCATCTACTCAAGTCTAATCTACCAACTATAGTCAATATTTGTTCACAGGGTTTTCTGGTCGGGGGAAGCAGATGGACGTGAGGTAGACAAATCTTTAGTTTCTTGGATTATGTTAGGGAAGCAGGAGTACAGGAGAGCCAAGGTGACACCACTTTAAACAATGACTCTATCTTAAAACTAGCAAGACGCATTCCTTGCTAGTCACAGCCCATTGTCATAAGATGTTTATGTTTGAAGGAACAGCTTAATAATGCTTGCAAGGAGAAACTCCTATGATAGGAAAATGTCCAGATGTCCCGATATCACATAACAATATATACTCTTGAAAATAATCATAGGCTTGGCATGGTGGCTGACACCTGTAATCCAAGCACTTTGGGAGGCCAAGGCAGGCGGATCACCTGAGGTCAGGAGTTCGAGACCAGCCTGGCTAACGTGGTGAAACCCCATCTCTATTAAAAATACAAAAATTAGCCAGGCATGGTGGCAGGTGCCTGCAATCCCAGCTACTTGGGAGGCTGAGGCAGGGGAATCGCTTGAACCCAGGAGGCAGAAGTTGCAGTGAGCCAAGATCACACCATTGCACTCTAGTCTGGGCAACAGAGTTAGACTCTGTCTCTAAATAAATAAATAAATAAAATTATAGGCTGGACACAGTAGCTCACACCTAATCTTAGCACTTTGGGAGGCCAAGGCAGGAAGATCACTTGAGTCCAGGAGTTTGAGACCACCTTAGGCAACATGGCAAGATCTTGTCTTTACAAAAAAATTAAAAAAATTACCTGGGGGTTGTGGTGGTAATGACAAGATGCAGCCAAAAATGCCTAGGCAGATAGGGGTGGATCCCCAGTGAAACCCCACCTCCAAGCTAAAGACAGTTTGAAGCCTGAAAGCCAAGCTACAAGTTAAATCCTCAGACCAGATTGAGAACTTGTCTTCCCGTTTGGTGCGCCTTCCTCAGATTGATCCCCACCTTTCACCTATTTTACATATACCTACCCTTTCCTAATTGATTTTCTACACTGTTGTGCCCACCTTTGAGTGATGTCTTCGCTTTAATCTTTTTTTCATGCTCACAAACCAGTCAGCATGTACTTCCCATTCTGAGTCCATAAAAAGCTCCAGACCCAGTCACACAGGGGACCTTCCTCCCTTCAAGTAGGAGAAGCACCCCCACGTCCCCTCTCCACTGTAAGCTGTTTCATCACTCAATAAAACTCCCTACCTTGCTCACTCTCTGATTGTCAGTGCATCCTCATTCTTCTTGGGTGCGGGAAAAGACATTGGGAACCAATGTGCAAGCCAGATCTGGCTTGGGTAGACCAAGTGAGTGGGCTGTCTCCTGTTGCAGGTAGCGTGCCCAAGCAAGGCTTGGCCCGGGCATCACTGGCCAGAGGTCTCCAGCTTGCAAAGTGAAAAAGAAAAAATTCCTAGGCTAGGTGCAGTGGCTCATGCCTGTAATCCTAGCACTTAGAGAGGTTGAGGAGGGCGGATCACTTAAGGTCAGGAGTTTGAAACCAGCCTGGCCAACATGGTAAAACCCTGTTTCTACTAAAATACAAAAAAATTAACTGGGTGTGGTGGTGGGCACCTGTAATCCCAGCTCCTTGGGAGGCTGAGGCAGGAGAATTGCTTGAATCCAAGAGGCAGGGGTTGCAGTGAGCCAAGATGGCACTACTGCACTCCAGCCTGGGCAACAGAGTGAGACTCCGTCTCAAAAAAAATTCCTGTGTTGGTGGAGTGTGCCTGTAGTCCTAGCCACTCAGGAGGCTACATGGGGAAGA